TTTTTTGATGAGCTCATACTGATTTATTTGATTGAAAACTTGTATATGATTCTTGCAAAATTGTTGGCTAATAGATTGAAGAAGGTTATAAAGGTTTTGATTTCTAAATCTCATAGAGCCTTTATGGGCCAAAGCCATATGTTCGAGGAAATTTTGGTTTTGAGTGAGATTGTGGATTATGGAAAGCTTATTAAGAAGAAGTGTATGATTGTAAAGATTGACTTCTAACAAGCTTAAGATAAGGTGTCTTGTTATTTTTTAAGATTTATCACGAAGAAGTTGGGTTTTGGTAACGTTTGGACTGCCTGGATGGAAGCGATGATTTGCAACAACGCCATGTTGATCATTGTGAATATGATCCCAACTGTTGAGTTTATTGTTGAGAGAGGTATACGTCAAAGAGGCTTATTGTCTCCGTTTTTCATAATGCAGTCACTCAAGAAGATTTTCATGGGTTCAGATTCAACAATGACACATTTAGAATTGTTGCAATTTGCCAACGACACAATTATTATAAGAGATGGTTCTTTACAAAATTGTCATACCCCAAATTTGTCCTACCTTGTTTATATTCTTGTACCTAAATTTGTGTTGCTTCTTGATCTTCCTTTGGATGATCATTTGGCATGTTACCATGATCCTCTAGGGTTTAGGTCATGAGGTCTTATATGTGTTTGTGGTGTTGCAAGCTCTTGTTATGGTGTTTTGGTATCATGAGGAGATGAAGGAGAAATGTGCCCTCATTTTTATGGATCAAGATCTCATCAGATGGAATGTAACTGCTTTTGTTGGAGAAGCATGACATGGAAGGCTAATGGATTCATTGATTCAAGAATTTTCAAATGAAATCAAGTTCTTACGCATTTATTTTTCCCAAATTAAAGAAGCGTCATACGATTCTCTGGCATGTAAACTTTAATGTTTTCCCCTTCTTCATCATATACATTGTTTTATTCATAAGGAATAGAGACTAGAAGAGAAATTGAACCGAAAAAATATCCATGAAGAAGTTGTTGAATGAGTTGAAGCGGAGCCTGAGCCAGGAGGGACGACGACAAAGAGGAAAACGAGCGCGGAGTGACACAGTGGTCGTCGCAAAAGCATAATGAAAAGGAAGATGAGTCGTGACGCAAGGGAAGTGACGAGAGACAAGAGACAAGAGCTTGATGAGTATTTTCTATTTGCTTTTTTCATTGTCCTTTTTTTTTGGCTTGGTGGGCTTTAAAATCCCTAAGCCCAAGTGTTTTTCCTTCTAACACTTCCCTATTTCTATTTTTGCACTCTGCTTTCTTAATTTTGTTTTTGTTTTTATTACCTTAGTTTAATTTTTGATTAAAAGTTTTGGTTTAATCCTAATATTAATTTTAATGTTAGTTTAGGTTAATTATGATATTAGATTTTTATGATTAATTTTGATAGCGATTTTAATCTCGATTTTGATTTTGTTTAAAATTTTGATCTTGATATCAATTTAAATTCATGATTAATTATTGATTTAAAATTAGGATTAACTCTTGATCTAAATCTGTGATTAATTCTAGGCTTAATTTTATGATTAATTTCTTAAATTAATTTTAATTAACTTTTCGTTATTTTTTTATTTAGAATTGATTAGGAATTTAATTAAATTTTAGTTGATATTTTGTTGGAATTTCTTGGCTAAGTTTTGTGAATTTCCTTATTGATTTTTTGCCATGAGCTTGATACACGAGGTTGATGATTGCTTTTGATATGTGATGCTTAGGGTTCTTTATTCAATTTTATCCTCGATAGTTTGGATCAATACCTTAGGTTTTGATCTAAGCATGACAACTTCTAGGGTAGAAATTTCCTTCAATCCTAACTTTAGGTTCATCTTGTATGATAGTATTAGGTTAGTGTTTTCTCCTTCCCTTTTCATAAAACACAAATTATTTCTTAGTCAAAAACACAAAAAAAAATACTTAACTAATATGGTACGTCACAAGCCTTAAGCACATGGGAAAAGATGAGCGGAAGTCTTCCTTACCTCTTCTTAGGGCATGTTGTACATGAGACGCCTGACTCATTTGTACAACATATTCACTCCTATTGTAATAGACTTTAGTATGATACGTATCTCAAACAATTTTTCTTATCTCCTAACAAAACACCTCACCAAGTTTAAATCTTTTTCCTTTGGGATTTTCCCTTTAAAACATTTTTAAAAAGGGCATACTATTTCCGTTCTACTTGTCATACCCTAAATTTTGACCCTAAGATATCACATCATTTACATTTCATCACCATCATATGTGTGTATATCTTTTATTCATCACTAACCCATTTGGGAATACAAAGATTGATGTTTGTTTCATTTGATCTTTGAATTAAGGTTTTGAGCCTCAAAAGATATCCAAGCAAAGGATCAATAAAAATTGGGCATGATCTTTAACTTACCAAATCCCTCATTCATTAATAAAGATCAATATATCTCCTCCATCAAGAATAAAGCACAAGTCTACACCATTTCACGTCAATCAAGCACCAAGTTCATCTGGTGCACCAATTAGGGTTTTGGTTGATTAGGGCCTCCAAAGTGAATTTTTCATCTGGGCATGAGCCAATATCTCAAGATATGTTACAAGGGCCTCAAATGAATCATATTAGTCAATTCATATAATTAGATTCATCCAAAGAACTTGATTCATAAACAATGCAAGGATTCAAATTCATCTGAGCCACAAACTAGGGTTTTTATGAAAAGTCAATTGTACCTTTGACTTTTAAGAAAAGGCATGATCTCAAACCTTGGGACATGATTCAAGACATTCAAAAACACCTTTGGAGTCCATCCATGATGTTTAACTTAGCTCAAGGATTTTATTTCATAAAGGATCACGAAGTTCAAAATTTATCTGATACAACAAGTCAACTGTGGTCAAAATCAAGTTTGACTTTTGGAGTTTTTGGTCAAACGTGGTCTCTTCAAGTCAAGAACAATGTTAATATTTAATTTTAATCATGATTGATCAAGAAAAATCAAGAAGAGAGAGAACACTTATAAAGAGGGCAACCATGAAGAAATTAAAAAATTTCAAAGTTATGGAAAAAAAAACTTTAATTTGGTGCAAATTTTACAAAGGCGTAACTTCCAAACAAAGCAACCATTTTCTTTGATCCAAAGATGAAATTGAAGAGCTTGTTACATACTAAAACTTTGTCCCTTAAGCAGTGAATAGGAACACTGTATAACTGATAATCAGATTGTAGACATCATGACGAAGGGAGTGTCAGTCGGAGTGTTCAAGAAGTTAAAGTCTATGATGAATATAGATAGTTTAGACACAATGGATTAGGTGGTGTATTAAATATGTAATTCATTGTTTTACAAGGATTATATTTGACTTGGAAATATCAGATTTAATTTAGAAAGATTAGATTAGATATTTTTGAACTTTTATAGTTTGGACTTTAGTTTGAGATGTAATTTAACCTAAATCTATAAATAGGAAGAAACCCTTATCATTGTAATCATCAAGTCTGATAATCACGATTTTGCAGTTGCAAAGTGATAATAAAATTACACAATTGTGGATAGAGAGTTACTCTACAGTTCAAACTAATCTTGTTTAAACGTGTTCTTATTTTTGTTCATTGTCATTACATAACAATCTTGAGATTAAGATTGAGAAGAATTTACCATAGATCGTGGTTGAATTCCAACACCAAGGAGTCTATTTGGTGGAGGGATGTTAGAGTATGTTTAAGTGGGGTTGATGACGATAACTTGTTTAAAAATTCTATTAGCGCTAATTTAGTTGATAGTAAAATTTTAATTTTTTGATGAGTAATTGGTTGGGGAAAGAGGTTGTGTGTGTGCTTTTCTAACTTTGTTTTTCATTGCAACAAATGATAATTGTAAGATTGCAGATATGGGAGCTAGGGTCGGTGAGGTGTGGAATTAGAACTTTAATTTGCATATGTACATATATTATTTGAAAAAGTTCATACTTCTGAGAATATAGTTGATATATTGACCAAATAAGTCATCAATGACAAATTAAATAATTGTGAGAACTTGTTACACATTTCTCAGTGTTAAGTAGGAGGTATACCTCCCAAGTTGTCAAGATGTGATCGTCATGCATAAAAATTTCATATGAGTTTGATATTCATCAAGGCGGTGTTGAGTATGCCTCATTAAGAGAACGAGGAGCACAATATGTGAAAATTCCAAATGGATCTTAGGCTAAATATTTTTTATAAGCCTTAGGCCAACTATTTATTATGGGTAAGTGACTATGGTTAAGTGGTATCGTGTAAATCGAATTATATATATATATATATATATATATATATATATATATATATATATATATATATATATATATATATATATATATATATATATATATATATATATATATATATATATATATATATATATATATATATATATATATCAACTTACGTCAAGAGTAAGTTTTTTTTAACTTATTCAAATCATACTCTTTGAATTGAATCTAATCTAAAAGTTATTTAGTAAAAAGACTAATTTAACCATCAGATTATATTTAATTCAAAGGTTATGGTTTGAAATAACTTAAAAGAACTTACTTTTGAAGTAAGTTGATCTCCATTCATATAATCTTAATTAATAGAAAAAAATAAAGATAATTATAATTTCTCTATAATTTCAAAAGTAGACATTATTAATCAAACTATATCAACAAACATCAATTATGCATCACTGTTTTTTATTTTCATTTATAATTTAATCTTTTCTATAAATTGATTTTTTTAACCTTAACACTTCTTTCTTCAATGATAACATTAACATTCATGTTTCTAAATACAAATATAAAATTAAATCTTATACTAATTGAACCCTCAAATTATAACATAATTCTTTTTATTCTGTCCAAAAAAATGGGAACAGTTGTACACTTCAAATATGTTTAAGCCAATAACAATTACATAATAATAAAATGAGATAAATAGATAGTTATAGCATGCCATTGGAAGAACTTGAGATATCATCATCTTGTCAAACGATCCCTATATTTTGGAAGAACTTCAGCCACAAGTGTTCTGTATACACTTTCTGTAGGATGATAACTATCCCAAAATACATATTCTTTATTATCATCACATGTGGGAGTCAAAGGGTTACATAATATTGAAACTTCTAGATTTCCTGTTCCACAACAACCCTTATCTGCAACTTTATACCCTGCATCTCATCAATTAAAAATTCATCAATTAATTAACTAATTAATTTAACTTAATTAATTAATTTTCTAAAAAAAAATTATTTACCATATTTTTGAGGCTTTACAATGATATCAAGTAAGGGGGTGTAAATATCAACATAAACAACCCTACTATTAGGCAAATTAGAATGAAGATAATCCATTTGCTTTGAGAGTTTGGAGTTAAATAACTTGGCTGCTTCATTGTATTCCTCATTGATATTTCTAAATACACCCCCACTTAAAGTCCTCTGTGATGGTAAGTATCCAATAGGTGCTGCACTGAACACTCCAATTCTCCTAGCTCCAAGTTGATATATTTCCTTCAATTATATATACAAAGTTAGGATTATAAAATGAATATTAATTTTTTTTGAGAATCAAAAAAGTACCTTAACGAACTTTGAGGCTTCGTTGACCATAAGGTCAGTATAAGCAGGAACGTCATAGTGTAGTTGTGGGGTGCGAATAGTAAAATAAGTGTTGGCAAGGTCATCACTTCCAGCTACAACAAGGAAAAGTGCTTTTGCTATGATGAAGTTTTTTCTTTTTTCTCCAACCACGCTTTTGAGTTTCACTATATATTCTTTGAACAATTCTAGTTGATCAGACATTGAAATCACCGACTGATATATAAATAATGATTAGTAGAATTATAGAATAAGATAGTTAAATAAAATAAAAGTTTATGATTATGAATATTATATTATTATTACCACAATTTTAGATGTTAAAGGATCATAACCAGAAGCACCAGAAGCAAAGCATACACCAGTAGGAAGGTCACTTGGTTTCAGATTTGGATCCAAATAAGCTGGTAAAACCTCCTTAATACCAAAATATTCAACTAAGAACAAAACAAAAATAGTTATATGTCAGATATGATTTAATTTGTATTTTCACAAACATTTGATGATATTTGTTAGATATATACTGTGACTAATATTTAATTTAATGTGTATTGCATTAATTAATTGCAATTCTCCAATTCAAGAGTCTATTTAAAAATTGCCAAATAATTTTTAAGACTTCAAAATAGTTAAACACTGGTTTAACCAATGCTAGCTACATCCACCATTTCCACTAAAGCTGTGATTAAGACAATACTATATGGCATGTGAGTTTCAATTAATTCTTGTGACTAATTAATCCATCATTTTCATTGTTGAATCATGTGAAGAAGCATTAAAATAGGGTTAACAGTAATATATAAGTGACAAAAATATCACATCTATTATTTATCTATTACAATTCAACCGGATACATTTTTAAAATTGTTCTTTTATCACAAATTATTTATATTAATAAAAAAGTATTTTAATAATCAATTAATATTTGTTTTTTATTCTTATCTTCTATTATATCATGACAAGTGACATTCATTTATCAACCTCCATCAATTATATTACAATTAAATATTATATGTATTGATTCTCTATCTTCATTCAAATTTCAAATCTCTTTCACATTTTTTTTTCTACACTTTTTCACTTTCATTCTACTTTTTTTCTATTTATTTATTATCACTAAAAATATTAATAAACTATTTTTTAATTTTAATAAAATAACACTATATATTTATCTCACATATCACTATCAACATAATATCGATTTTATTTTAATCAATCATTATCTTAATTTGAGAGACAAAATAATTAGTACTTTTAAATATTTTTTTTTATCTTATTTTTTTTAAATAATCATTTAATACAATTAAATATATATGATTATTGTTGATTTTAATAAATTATTTTAAATTTCACATTTGTATCTAAATACATTTCTATTACATCAAATAAATTTTTTTTATTTTACGGATTATTATCGCATCAAAATATTTCTTTTGTCTTTCTTCACCTCAAAATTATTTTTTTAATTATTTTTGCATGACTTTCTTCATCTCAAATTCCATAATTATTTTTCATTTTACAATTAAATAATAAATTTCAACTTTATATTTTTATATAAATATATTTTATCAAATAAACTTTATATTTCAGTAAAGCTATATATTTTATTTTAATTATTAATTACCTTAATTTAAAAGTTAAAATCATTATTTTTAAAATATTAAATGTTCTCTTTTTTTAATTTCACGAGTCTTTTTTTTAGTACAACTGAATTTATATAATCATTATTTATTTTAAAATTAATAACTAATTTAAAATTTAAATAAATATATAAATATATTTTATATCGTATTAAATTTACATATACATTTGAAAATATTGTATACTTTATCAAATAATTTTACCTATGCGGAAGCATGAATATCTTACTAGTATCTACTTAAAATTTTAAGATGATAAATATGTGAATTTTTTTTCATGTTCAAGTCTTTTGTTGACGTAAACATCTTTTCCAAGAATATATATATATATATATATATATATATATATATATATATATATATATATATATATATATATATATATATATATATATATATATATATATATATATATGCTTAAATCAAACTGTTAAGCTTTGATAAAGTAGTTGTGAGTAGTTGTATTAGTTTGATCACGTTATAAGGTTTCATCTAATTTGCAGTGTCTTCTTCCTTTGTCATTGTCATATGGCGGTGAGGCATTCATGGAGGGAAGGGCCCTATCAGATGACATGTATGGTCCTAAAAACCTTGAAATATGTTAACGTCTTTATCTTTTAGCAAATGAGATAACAACTAGATTTCTACTACACTCTACTACAAAAGTGTAAGTAAATATATTATAACGAGTAGACTAGTCTTAAGTTTTTAGAATTTTAAATTTTAAAAAAGTTGTTTAAATTAATCACAATTAACTAATTTAAAGGTGAAGAAATAAATAAAATTTCTATTTTATCTTAGTATAATCATGGAAAATATTTTGAAACTTTTCTTAACTACAATTTAAGTGTATTAAATTTTAGGTCATTCACGATAACAAGTTTTTATGTTTTTAAAGAGATTTTGATCATGAGTTGAAAATTTAAATTAAAAAATATATTAATAATTTATAAATATCAAATGCTTATTTATATTATTTAACTCAGACACGAATTTAAGTAGAGGAAAGTGAGAGTAAGTGATTCCACTTAAATTTTTTTAAAAAAATAATAATAATAATTAGTTTTAATATATTGACCCATTTAAAATTAATTATTATTCCCACACCATTTATTTAATTTAAATTTAAAAAAAATATAAATTTGACTATTATTTTACTTTATTGTTTTTTAATTTTTTTTAAGTAAATTGAATTAAAAAAGATATGAGAAGATGAAAAGTTGTATATCTTCTTAGTTTCATTTCTACTCTCTTTTTTGTCTTCTTCTTTCTTCTTCACACTAATACTCCTTTTATCTTTTCTTTTTTCTTCACTAGTCTCCTATTTTTAAATTTTATTATTTTCATCTTTTATAAAAGTTGTGTTAAAAGACAATAATTCAAGTAAATTTTTTTATTTATTCTTTTTTTTAATGTATATTATATTATTATATTGTGATTTCATATTATAGTATGTTATGATTTCATATTTTTTGTCCTATACTTTTAATTTTAATCTTATATTTGTAGTTGTATTAAAATCAAATAACTAATTAGTCATATATTTTGTATGTGTTAGAAATGAAAAAATATTCTACAAAAAAATCAATATTAAAGTCTTAACAAGTTAATGAATTTAAAAATGCACCGAACAACAATTAGAGTCATTTTTTAAAAAAGTTTTTTTAAATGTTGATTTAAATAATTTTTATAAAATTATAGCAAAATCTTTAAATATTTTTCTATAAATATTTATATTATTTGATTTTAATATTTGTATACAAAAATTAAGTTTGGCCCTACTTAATAAAAATTCTAGATTCATCCCTGATTTAACTTAATATATATTATACAGAAATACAAAAAGATGTTGAGATCAAAATTAAATTTTAAAATAACCGTTCGAACTTATTTAATTTAAGTAACAAATAATAGTTGAATTATTCAACTCACTTGAATAAATGATTTTAATTGATACCATAACATTAATAAGTGTAAAAATTATTTATATAGTATTAATCAATCTCAATTATTAAATCATTAAAATTTTAAAATATTTAATTTGTATTATTATTATTATTATCATTATTATTATTATTATTATTATTATTAAATAACACTTATGAATAACTGTAATTAACAATATAAAACTTTCTCGTTTAACAGTATATAAGATTTTAATTTATCTTAAAATTAGTATACATTTAAAAATTGGCATGTAATTACTCTCATATTCCTATTGTAAAATCTTTAAAAAAATGAAGATAAATTAAAACCATAGTCACTATTATAAATAAACGTTGACAATTTTTAAACTATTTAATAATATGTTATTAATATATCTTTCATTTAAAGGAATAACTAAATAATTAAATATCAACATATAGAAAACTAAAGATACTGCAAAGTTGATAAGGTAATATAGACAAGTTACTAACATTCTATTAAAAAAAATTATCCTAAAATATTCATAAAGAACAAGAGAGTTTATATATTATATACCTATCAAGTCAGAGGGATTTTTTCCATTGCAAAATCGACCTGTTGGAATCCCTCCTTCAAAATCTATGCCATAAGGAGAGAAATTGCACTTCACCATTGTTTTGATATAGTTGTTATTTCCAGTATCCATTATCGAATCTCCAAAAGCTATGAATGCAGGAACTGTAACATTTGGTGCAAGTTTCACCAACGAGTTTGTTCTATATGATAAAACTAACAAGAATATGAAACGTAATAATATTAATCTAGTTGATGAGTAAGTATTTGGAATCTTCATCATATACACAACCATTTTAGAGAAAGATAAGTTGTTGATATATTTTGCACGTATTCTGCGTAAATTTATATATCCACAAAACTCTGAGTCATTTATTGCATGAGAATTATTGAATCCAACGGTTTTTTTTAATATTTATATGACGTGTACAAAAAGAGTAATTAATAACTAACAACATATGGTATAACAGTTGTGTTGTTAGATTAGTTTATTAATTTATATAGATGGGGGCTCGCATTTCCTTATCACTAGCTACTACGTGCATGAATTTTTTTTTTTATCAATAAAAACTAATTTAAGAATGCAGGATAATGTATCATTACAAAATATATAAAATTATATCTTTAGAGATTTACATTTAAATCTCTAGATTCAATGTATGTTTTCTTTATGTCTGGTGTTAGAATTTAGTGACTCCGAGATAACTTATGCAGTGGCTTAGTCGCCGGCATAAGCATTAGTATTTTTTTTAATGGTTTTGTTGTAGAAATTTTTAGGTTTGTTAAGTTCGATTAATTATATCTTTATAAGGTTATCATATCATCAACATAAGTTAAAAATAAAGATTTTTATGTTTATTTATCAAAGCAAGAGGTCGAAAATCGGGACCATGGCCACAACACTTGTTTTTAAACAAATTGGACAAGTTTTGCTTGTGGTAATCGATTACTCCATTTTGCTAGGCAAAATGGAGTAATCGATTACCCTGTGTAAAATGGCAGATTCTGCTGCATTTTCATGACAACATCTTTGCACTCTCCATTCTCTTGTGGTCTACTTGAGTCTGACATTGTGTGGAATATTCTAGACATTTTTAGACGTTTCAAGACCTTTCAAGACACTCTAAAGAATTTATTCTAACACATCACTTTGAATCAAGACTACCATGTAACTTCATTTCCAAGCATGGGGACCATTTGATTTGGACTTGCATTGGGATTGCTCCACTGAGTTAACAACTAACTAACTGAGTCAACTTCCGACTCAGTGAGTTAGATGTAACTAACTCCAAAGCTAGTGCCAAAGCACACTCCAAACTTTCACTCTATATAAAGAAATCCCCACCATCTCTTTAGGACCTTCAATCATTTTCACAAATCTTCACTCTTCACTCTCTCATTTCTCATAATTCTCTTTGCATTTTCTGCAACTTCTTCACATTCATCTTCATCTTCTTCCCAAAACCACACTAGAGCTCTATTATCACCATTGGAGAGTAGCAATTTTACATTGAAATTGCTTTCCTATTGAGGTTAAACCTTCATCTCATTACATTTCTTCTTGGATCTCTACAACTACAACAACTTCTATAACAATTCAAGTGATCGATTCAATCTTTTCGGTGCAAATTCGATTTCTGAGCTTTTATCGCATTGGATCGGTTTCGCTACAGTTTGATCTCAAGATCATAATTCTCTGATTTTCTTGACTCATTCTCATCACATATCACTTGCAACGATCGCCAAGGCAATCATCCACCTTGTAGGTTGGTAATTCACACTCGATTTACTGTTTTAGATCACTTTTGTGCGTTTACAATGTAGTTTCGATAGCTTTTCAGTGTTGATTAATCATGTGATTGTTTGATTCTTGATCTTCATGTTTAATGCTTTCAATTGATGATTAATTGTTCCTAATTGATGTAAATTTTGTGTACAAATGCATGCTATAACATGTGGATGATTGAATAAGTGTTTAGATGCTAGAAGTGCTTTTTGAAGGCTGTTTTTTGCCACTGTCACAGTGGTAATCAATTACCTATATATGGGTAATCGATTACCCTGCCCTTTTTTCCATATTTTTTTTGCAGTTTTTAAGCAGGTAATCGATTACTTGCTTATGGTGATTGATTACTGTTGCGGTGGAAATAGGATATCAAACTATTAATTAGTTTGAATCACAATTCTTAATTCACAACTGCACTTTGATTTATCCGAAGGAAAATGTCAAAAGAGGGAAAACCTATTTTTGCATCGTAAACACAATGCGGGGAGAGACCTAGGTAAGGGGTTGGTTAAGCTTAGGGAAGGTACTAGCACCTTAAACTTTTGTAGTACTCTACAGGAACCTTTTGTTTACTGTATGCTTTTTATTTTGTTATCTATATACTGAGCTAAGGGATAGAGTGACAAAGATACCTAAGGGTTAGTCCTACGTTTACTCGGCAAGACGTCGCATCTTGTGCCTACGTATCTTGGATAGGGAATGGAATCAGAGTAATCGTAATTTCTCTCGAAAGGGAGGTTAGAAACGTCTTGACTGTGGTCAAGGTTTCGATGGGGAATAAGCATTTCTTAAGGAAACGCTTACGTGGAGTTTTGAAACTTCTATTTCTACGTTGAATTTGTTAATTAAAAATAGGGGTAAATTAGGGATTCCACGGCGGGAAATCCTAAACAGAGTACGGTGACTCTTTGATCTAAAGCTAGGGTAAAGGGTATTTTTGTCCACGGTGGGACACCTAGGCTAATTAGGGTTTTGAAACGGTCAAGGGTTAGGACTATTGACTCGGTGGTCAAACGGTTTAGACCTAATTCCTTCGGAGGGTTGATTAATGGTAAAAATCATGCAAACAGACAAAATATATCATAGCAGCGTAATTAAGGTGCGGAAAGTAAAGAAAACGGTAAAGAAAGCGTCGCGACGATCACTCGCGTAAATTACAAGTCCCAAAAATGTCAAAAATAAATAACCGCGACAATTACTCGCATGATTACACGGAAAATTCTGGAATATGGATAACAACCGAGAAATAGCAAGCATATACAAATTGGAATTGAAACCATCAGACGAAAGGTGACGCGGCCGGATTACGACCTCTTTATTATTACATTTTTTCCCTAAAAAATAATAACCCATTTTTTGTATTTTGTTTATATAAAACAAAGGAAATAGTTTATTATTTTTATTAAACATGAAAAATCTAAACAAATATTTTAATTCTGGAACGAAAAGTTACTAATGAAAGAAAAAGCTAATTTACCAAAATTTTAAGTTTTAAAGAAAACCGCAATTTTCCATAGGCCATTAATCTAACGTTTTCTCCTATGAATTACAAAAAGGTTTTTTTATCTTAAAAAATTTATAACCGAGAAACCTTTAGTTATAAACCGTTTTTATAAGAAATAATTAAAAGAAAATTTAGCCATAAAACCTGTTTTCTATACTTAATAAATATTAAATAAAAAACAAAACACATAAACATCCAGCGGAGTTTCAGATAAGCCACATCTTGCATTTGTACTATTAGCTTCTAGGGTTTCCCTCATCTTCTTTGTGATGCCGACGACGGAACTCCATTGATGAGTTTCGAAGCTCTTCCGTCTTCTCCTTTGAGCTTGCATGTAGCATTTTCCGATTCCTCTTCGTTTTCCTGAAACAGAAACAATAAAAAAACCCAAAAGATTCACGCAAACCATTACACGATGTTAGCTTACCTTCACAATTTGCGGTTTGCAACGGAGGATCTCCGGTTGATTTTCCGCCACCGATGATGTTGTCCGAGACTGAAACAAGGGCAGTCGTTTGAGGTTTCCACGATTGGGTTGCATGCACTGAAATTCGCAGCCGGTGATGAGATCACTGAGGCCTTTGAAGTTTGTTGCCCGCCGGACGGCATCGGCGGTGGCTTAACAGCTTCGATCGCGAGCTTTAATGGCTTGGTATCTTCTTTTTTCTAGCGATGTCGCTGAGGTGATGGTGAGGAGCGTTTTTGGCTTTTCTGAACCTGTTTGATGACAATGATGAAGATTCTTCTGAATCTCCTGAGTCTGAACCTCTTCTCGACGTCTTTACGGCGCCGTTTTTCGTTTGGGGGGGTGATGATGAAGCCACCTGCTTCTAAACCCTTGCGCCGTTGCCGCTTGCCCTCCTCCTTTTCTGATAACCTTTTATGATTTATATCACTGATGGTTTCTTTTAGGCTTCGTATTCAGGGTTCTTTTTGCGACGATATTCACGAGTTCGTCGGATTTTCCGCTATCCTTGAACGCTGACTCTACTTCTCTTTTTATGATTCTAAGCATTTTGTGGTCTGATGCGTTCTTGTTGCGGATTAACGGGAGATCTGGTTGCCGTTATTTTCGCGGAAGTTGTTGCTACTTGTTTTCCTTGTTAGAACCGCAGGATGTGTTGGTTTGACTTGTTCTGGACATTGTTTGTTGAACCGGTTTATTGGACTATTTCCTTGAACTGGTTTGATGAACTTGTTTGAGTTAGTTTGAACTGGTTTCTGGGGATTTTTCGGAACTTATTTGGCTTCAATCCGTGCTTGGATGAAAATCCATTTTGAATAAGTGCTTTTTCAAAAGCACTTCTTTGGATAAGCACTTTTGCAAAACAACTTTTCTCAAAAGCACCTTTTCTTAGAACTCTTTCTCTCTCTCTCTGGTTGCCTCGGAAAAGAACAGCTTATTGCTGATTTTGGTCAATGGTCGGAAAAGAGTCGGGAGCTGGAGATGGAGAAATTTGTTACCCTCCCGACACACCCGATGATGACAATGTGCTGAGGGTGTCGAGGTCCCACTTCTAACCGATTAAATTTGTCTATTTTTTCTATCTTGCAGGTTCGAAAGAAAAATCAGAAGCTCGAAGAATCGGGACTACGAAATCGGAATAGGAAAAATAGGAAAATAGTTAGAACCGCAGGATGTGTTGGAGTCAATGACCTCACGATCTTTGCAACAACTGATCTTGATGTCAATACTTCTCCACATACTTTGATTTGATTCACCAATTTAGTAACCCTAGTGAAAAAATCAGTTATGCTTTTATTTTCCTCCATTTGATGCAATTTATAGCTTCTTTTGTGAGTTTGTAACCTCACCTATTTCACCTTTTCTGTGCCTCCAAAAGATTTCTCTAGAATTTCCTATGCTTTTTTCGTTGATTCTACATCACTAACCTTTTCAAAATCATCTGGATCAAAACATTGATGAATTATAAAGAGAGCTTTATAATCTTTCTTATTCAATTCTTTGTGTGCAACCTTTTCTTGATCCGACACATTTTCTGCA